GATAGTTCACCTCCTAATGACTTCATAAATATCTGCTTCAATTATCTTTGGTAAATGAAATAGCCAATCAATCATTCATTTTCTGATATAGCTATAAAACTAATCTGAAAAGTTTTCAAAATAAATCTCTGTTAAAAAATATATATGTGTACCTTCTAAAAATGAAACCTACATCTGAGTTGTGAAGAACATGTATTAAGATTATAACAACCAACAAGTATGCCCTTTAATGTAGAAAACCGTGATTAAATCGAGTCTTCCTGACTAGTGATTTAAATCAATTTGATTTAAATCAAATCCACCCTGATACAGGATGCTCTTTGGAAACATTTTAGCTGGATGGTAGGTCAACAGCAAATGGGATCACTGTATAAGGACCAATGAATCTAGACAATTTTTATAGACAGGAAAAATCTCAACAGCTATTACAATCCCCCCCAAAACGAGTGACTACAGAGATCAGGGCCCTAGGCTACAACAATCTGGAGCAATGAACGGAGACAAATGCATTAGCTACAACATAAAGCAAGAAATAGCACTACAGATTTTTTTTCTTTTTAGAACCAGACCAAAAAGAGATGATTTTGTAATGGAAAAAGGCTGAACCCTCAAAATCACACAGTCAACCTATAAAGCTTATCCTCGGCATATATTGTTATTCTCAGAACAGCAATCTTCCATTTATGTATTATAACATCTATGCACGATGAAGTTAAGCAAGAAGTATGAATTTATATTACTTATCTAGAAGACACACTGGTTGCACAATCTACCAGCCTCTAGTTTAATCAGGAGGTGGCACTTGAAAATGTCTTACCTATTCTTCCTTATCTAAATATTTAAAGAGTTTCTGTTTATCCACAGGAAAACTACAGCACTGGTAATGCAAGTTTTCCCCACGTTGCTCAACCAAGATGTTTAAACTTGATGTACCACCTTGATGGATAGTTTAATTTTCATGCCTATTTAAATTTCTTTGTCTGTTTACTGAAGAAGCCAAATATTAGAAGACATCTGTCACTAAGAACTGGACTGAGACCAGGCTAGAGATATCACATTTAACAACTTTGTCTCTACCAGACTACACAAGCTTAGATGGTGACCTACAGTATAGGTGAAAGGCTTAGCGGTAGCCAGACCTTGAATTATCAAATCTCCATATGGCTGAAGCAGCTGACATTTACACACTGAATTAAATTGGATTGTCTTCTACTTCCATACTTTCCCTCCCAAATGAATTTTAGTTCATCATTTAAAATGTCAACAACAAGAGTGCTAAACCAAATACAATTATATCCTTTTCTTTATGTTTTAATAAGGAATAATTTCAGATGTTTTTAGCTGAGTAGGAGACACTCAATGGAGCCTTCAAAAGTATCATCCATCCACAAGTACGTCCCCTACAGAACCTTCACTTCCTTGAATTACATGCCCTGGTTTTCCCCATTTGTCCATGATTATGTTTATTTGACAATTCCACCTGGAAACACTGGCCAAGTTTTGTTTTTTGTTTTAATTTGAATAGAAAGAAAGTATTTGCTGCCCTCCAGAGGAAAACAGAAAAAAAGTTAGATCTAAAATAATAGAAAAAAAGCCCTGTCTCTGCAGAAAAATGGATGATTTTAAAAAGGTTGTTTCCTCTTGAAATGTCAATGGCACCAATTAAAACTTAGCACATAGTTCAGTACTTTTAAGTGAAGAATTGGAGACAAAGTTATAACAACGAAGCAGGAAACAGCTAACTAAGGACATCTCAATGTGACGGTCAGACAGTCCTAACAACCCAAAAATACTTTGGGGACCCCAGAAAAGCTACATTTTTCTTTGCAGTTTTACAATGCAAAATCTGCTGGACAGTTATTTATATATAAGCCTACGCACTTCATGTGGGACCTTGGCCAAATCACTTTGACATCAATTGAAATTAGAAGCTCAAATACCTTTGAGGTTCTGGGCCTCAGTCTCTCTATTCCTCCATTCCCCATCTGTAAAATGGGGCTAGGATAACAGCACTTCCCTATCTCCCAGAAGCGTTAAGAAAACACATTACAGATTGTGAGGCACTCAGATGCTATGGTAATGGGGGCTGTCATAGGGGCATGTGGCTTTTTAAGGGGTTGGGGCTCAACTGCACCCTATACCAGGTTCAGCCCACCTTCCCAAGAGAAGGGCATAAGTCCTGGGGTCATGTGGTAGAAGGCTGTGACTCAGAGCCTGGCCTGCTAGGATATAAAAGGTAGCCGAGTTCAGGGAGGTGCTGAAATGAAAATGAGAGAGACAAGCAAGTAGAGGCATAACAGCTGTGTTTTGACATGCATGTACCATAAGCTTGAGAAGAGAGATTAACTAGACCTCGCTGCTTTCCTAACCACTCATTCTGCCTTCCTTAGAACTTCAGAAGCACTCACTTTTATCAAATAGCTTCTTGTGCAGAAGTCAAAATGGTGAGGACTCACAATTTTCTAAGAAGGTGGTTATTTATCTGATGGAACATGAATAAGACACCTCTGCTTTTACTGCATCTAAATAAATATACCATTTGATCTGATCAGGACACCCAGGAAACAAAGCATTTGTAATAGTCACTGCCAAACTTTATTCTGATCACTTTCTGCAGTTTGTATTATCCAAGCCTATCATATGCTAGAAAAAGTTGCATTTAATTAATAAGGAAAAGAGCAAACATTTGAACATGATAGATATATAGATATATATAGATATAGATATATAGATATAGATATATATAAACAAAACAAACAAACAAAAACACAGGTAATCAAAAGGTTAAAATTAAAACAAATTCCAAAACAGCATAAGCACAGGATGTAGCTTACAGAATACAATACACCCTCTTGTGGTCTAGTGAAGAAATCAATTGCTACTTTCAATCACAGTGATAAAAATGATCTTGAATGAAGTAAACAGAGGTTTATAAAATTATGGTGTGGAGAAAGTGAAAAAATAACGTTTTATTTATCCCTTCACACAATACAGGAATCAGGAGTCACCCAAGGAAATTAATAGGCAGGTTTAAAACAAACATGAGGAAGTACTTCTTCTGACCAGATAGCAAGTGTAAAAAAAATCGGGATGGGGGTGGGGGATAATAGGCACCCATAAGACAAAGCTCTGAATATGGGGTGACCCTAACTTCTTCACACAACGCACAGTTAACCTGTACAACTTGTTGACAGAGGATGATGTGAAAGCCAAAACTATAACTGGGTTCAAAAAAGAATTAGAGAAGTTCATAGAGAATAGGTCCATCAAGGGCTATTAGCCAAGATGGTCAGGGATACAACTCTATCCTCTGGGTGTCCCTAATCTTTGACTGCCACATGCTGGGACAAGACAAGAGGGGACAGCTCACTTGATAACTGCCTGTTCTTTTCATTCCCTCTGAAGCATCTGGCACTGGGCACTGTTAGAAGACAGGATTCTGTGCTAGATGGACCACTGACCTATGACCAATCTTATGTTAAAAAGAAGATACCATATAAAGAAATTTAACAGTGTTTACAAACTTCAAGGAACACGATCAACTTGAAATCTAGCCATTTTAAAAAAAGTTAAAAGTAGTTTCAAGACTCTACTGCTGCTCCCAAGGCTTCCCTGACAATTTCTGAGATTTTTACAACAACCATTTTCTAAAATGGTTTTCCCTGTTACTATGGGAAAGACCCACAAGAACCAGAGGATGTTGTGAAAATGACTATACACAAAGTATGCAAGGGGAAAAAAAAAAAAAAAAAACTATTTTTCTCCAATCTTAAGAGTTACCTGTAAGGCTAACAGATAACAAATACACAGAGGCATGTTTTTAAGAGGATATTGTGCCTTTAAATCTGCAGCAAAGAATGAAGCATGCAATAAAGAGGGTTCACTGTGGCTTAAGAAACAGATGCCAAGGGAAATCCTGAAGGCTGATGGATGTGATTTCAGCTTTATGAAATAATCAACTGCCCTCAGGTGATATGAATCTTTTCAACCTCTTACTATCAGCCTCCAAAAATGGGTCAAAAAGGTTCTCAGATGAGGACTCAGACCTATATCATCCCTTCCCATATAAACACTCAGCAAGGCAACAAAAGCAATACATCCACAGCTCTGAAGCTGCAGACACCCAACTGCACCACCACCTTGAGGGAAGGGGAGGGAATGATGATAGATTATGCATAAGTGAGTTGTGCAAAATGAGAGGATGAGGACAGCTCAGCGTTACCGGCTGGAGATTTTTCCAATTATCCACAAATCCTGTGCCCCCGCCCCCCACACCTCCCAAAAAAGTGGAATTTTAAAAAGGAAACTTTGAGATCCACTTACATTATTTATGAACTTGATTAAGAATATCTGTGTACTTTTTCTTTGCCAAAAGAGTCATTATTTAAATCGGATATCTGGATAACACAATGTTATTTAAATACTACACAATTTAAAGTCTGCACCCCAAAAACAGTCATTGTTGATATCAGCTGAGTTGTAGATAAGTAGTTTTCAACCCCCAAGGGGTCCACAGACCATGTCTAAGGGGTCCACGAATGACTGTCGTTACCACAGAACAGTGGTTTTCCACCTGTGGACCCCTGGGGTCCACAGACTATATGTCTGATTTCTAAAGGGGTCAAAACCTCCATTTGAAATTGTTTAGGGGTCCGCAAATGAAAAAAGCTTGTAAACCACTGTTGTAGATACACTGGGAGTTTGCATTTAGTTGGTAAAAAACAGACTAAAATACCGAAGTAAGAACAATCTGCTCAATTTGATGCCATGACACACAGAAATAGGCATGTACTGTGGAGAAAATTTTCCAGCTTGGGTGCCTACAGTTGGACTTGTGGGTGCTCAGCACTACTGAAAGTCTATCTAAATATACATTTGGCTGTCTAACTTTAAACACCCAGGGTGGAAAATTTTAGCCCTATTTTCACACTCAAAATTTATTTTCCTATGTGAACTTAAGGTTTTTAAAAAGTGTGTTAAACGACACCAAGCATGCTTACCGGACAGCCTCCGATACGTTGTTGGAAGTGTGTCCAGATAAAGCATCATGAAGGTTTCGGATGAAGTAATCTCTGTAGTCTTCAGAAAGGGCCATAAATGTTCCTCCCATCACAATGAATTCCACTTTATCCACACTGTGGCCCAGCTGCTTCAGCTAAAAAGTTAAATATAGATGTAAGAGACTTTGTACCTAAAGGACTCCAATGAAAACCTTTGACTCCAAAATATACTGTACAGTTAGTTCCTTATCAGAATTTACCTTTCATATCTTCTACTAGAATGCCAAATCAATAATGTTTTTGTATACAGTAGCCTTAATATAATTTTGCAAATAACTTAGAAATGACTCCTCTATTGCAAGAGCATAGGATGGTTTATAAAGATTATGTAAAGAGAGGTGACGTATGGGAGAGTGCTCTAAAGAGATGGGGCATCACAAATGACAGAGCAATACCACAAAGGAAGCTCAAACTGGAAAAGCAGAGTTCAAGGGGATGGGCGAGACCAGGGCTATACAAAATCCAGAGAGTTTTTCCACTGGATTTAGAGAGCAGCAGAAGCCAGTGAAGGCAATAAAGGATTAAGAGCATGGAGTTTCACTGTTCTCCTGAAAGTTGATTTCAGGAGAAGAGACAGAAGATTTGAGGAACCATTTACTCTTTGTACAGATAAGAAGAGACAGCATCTACTCACATCAGAATTACAGGCAAACCAGTGATCATTTCAACAATATCCCAGGTAGTTTTTCCTATTATATTAGCAGTCAATTACTATTCAGAAGAGTTGCAATCTTAAACACTGTTTAGAATTGGTTGTTTAGCCAATGTAAACGTTTAGCCTGTTAAATGGCTTAAGATTCATTCATGAAGAGAGATCATTTACGTTGGACAGACAAGGCGGGTGAGGTAATATCTGCTATCAGACCAACTTCTGTTGGTGAGAGAGAGAAGCTTTCAAGCTCTTCCTCAGGTTGGGGAAAGGTACTGAGAGTGTGGCAGCTAAGACCATGTCTGTACATACACCGGTAGCAGTGCAGTGCATCTGGTGAAGAGAGCTCGAGCAGCAGAAGCTATGTCAGCAGGAGAAGGCTCCTGCCAATATAGCACTGTGCACACGAGCGCTTATGTCGGTGTAACTTATCAGGGGGTAGCCGTGTTAGTCTGTATCCACAAAAACAACAAGGAGTCTGGTGGCACCTTAAAGACTAACAGATTTATTTGGGCATAAGCTTTCATGGGTAAAAAAACCCACTTCTTCAGATGCATGGAGAACACTTCCATCTCCCTGGACATTCTATAACAGATTTAAAAGTAGCCATACTTGAACAAAAAAACTTCAAAAACAGACTTCAAAGAGAAACTGCAGAACTAAAATTCATTTGCAAATTTAACACCATTAATTTGGGCTTGAATAGGGACTAGGAGTGGCTGGCTCACTACAAAAGCAACTTTCCCTCTCCTGGAATTTATACCTCCTCATCAAATATTGGGAGTGGACTACTTCCACCCTGATTGAATTGGCCCTATCAACGCTGGTTCTCCACTTGTTAGGTAACTCCCTTCTCTTCGTGTGTCAGTATAATAATGCCTGCAATTATTCTGTAAATCTGTAATTTCACTCCATGCATCTGAAGATGTGGGGTTTTTTACCCATGAAAGCTTAAGCCCAAATAAATCTGTTAGGCTTTAAGGTGCCACCGGACTCCTCGTTGTTTTGGTGTAACTTAGGTTGCTCAAGTGGGTGGTTTTTTCACACCCCTGAGCAATACAAGTTAAGCCAACATCAGCTGTAGTGTAGACACAGCCTAAATACAAGATCAAACAGATAGTTTAGCATAAGTAGTTGGCACATATTATAAGAGACCATTCAACGTGAAGTGGCCCATTAACACCCCTGTAGTCATAAGACACAGAGGGTGGTTACTGGGTTAGGTTGCTGTAATAAGCCATAAAACCAGCATTTTTATTAAAGACTAGTATTTTTAGTGTCTACCAAAGTTATGAATTTAAGCTCCCAGGGTCATCTTTTGAAAGTGTGCAGGTTTCCTTTGAGGACGAGGACTGACTGATCACTCTGTATCTGACCTCGTTGTGAAAAGTGTTCACACACAGGTGAGATGGTGTTTTGTCTTTTCATTTTCCTGTGTGAGTTCATTCAAGAGAGTAGTGATTGTCTGGTTTCACCCACACAGTTATTATATTGGATTTATGGTTATCACAACAATCTGTTAACCACTGACCCATCTTTTTGTCTTATGACTACAGGGGGTTTAACAGGCCACTTCACCTTTATTGGTCCCTTAGAATATGTACTAACTACTTATGCTAAACTATCCGTTCAATGTTATATTGAACTGTGACACTCAGTACCTTTCCCACACCTGAAGAAGAGCTCAGAGACAGCTTTGGAGCTGCACAATCACCAACAGAAGTTGGTCCAATAAAATATATTACCTCACCCATCTTGTCTTTCTAATATCCTGGGATCAACACAGCTACAACAACATTGTATACATCTTTTAAGTTAGACAGTTTCATATTTTTTGAGACTATCAAGAACTACAGCATGAGAACCACCATTGAATCCTACAACTTATCTCCACCACGTTTATTTATCGGGGAGAAACATGGAGAAATTTTCTTGGGGATACATACATACATGCCACCCAAACTGGGACTGCTGGAACAGCCCCCAGTTTTTGCCTCTGTCCCACTTCCCCCTATTTGTCTTGAGTAGCAAGGACTGGATTCCTTTTTGCTGAGTTCTTGCTCTGGACATCAGAGACTGCTGCAGGACAACAAATAACCACTTCTCCTATTCCTCCTCCTCCTGCACTATTCTTCCTTGTTCCCCTTTGTTGGCTTCTAAGGCAGTGGTCTCCAAACTTTTTTGATCGCGCACCCAATCAGTAAAAAAATTTTGAGCACGCACCCCCTGCTCCTGGCTGAACTGTCGAAGCAAAAAAAAAAAAAAAACCGCCCGGACTCCCCCCCGAACTGCCCCGGGGGTGGGGGGAGAAGCGGTGCTGCTCCAGCGGCGCTCCTCCTGCCACACACCCCGAAGGATCCTCTTGCGCACCCCACTTTGGAGACCACTGTTCTAAGGGATGGAAGCAGCCACTAGGCCAGCAGTTTCACCTCAGCCCCACCCTCAGAAGGGAAAAAGGAGGCACCTAGATGGGGGAAAATAGAAGGGGAACCTCAAAACAGAATGGGAGAAACCCCACAATGGGGGAAGGAAAGGGAAGCATACCAGAGTTTGATCCCATGTTCATTTATCATTATTGTCCATTCTCCATCAAGTGGCAGGTTATGACTTTGTGAGATGCCATCCGCCTAGTTTTCCCCAGATTTATGCAGTTTTTCCCACGGAGATGCTACTGGAGGGAGCTGGGCTAACGGAACCCCCCCAGTCACACAGATGTGAAAGTGGTAAGCCATTAGCTTTCCCAGCCCAAATGTAACGGGTAAAAGGCAGGGCTTATTTAGGAGTGAACTAGTTGGGTGTTGTGAGAGCATCAGTAGCTAAATATCCATATTTTAGAATGGTTATCTCAAGTGTAAGACTTTGGGGGTTCTCATCATTGACTTTATATGAGTTTTTCTTATACTAACAATAACATTTCATGTTGCAACATTATCATAATGATGAATCATCATATATTTATGTATGAAAATAATGCAATACAGGGAGCAGAGAATGAAGGATTTGGCAGCTGGTAGGAGAGAGGATCTTAAAGATCATCATAAGCAAGTCTATTCTGAGGCCCCAAGATATTTATATATCTATTTAAAAACCCAAATCTCACCAGAGTGAACAAGACAATTCAGTAACGCCCAAGATCACTCTCTTAATTGGAAAGCTGCTTTCAAAATGCTGGAAACTAAGAGAATTATTGCAACTATTTTCAAACAATACATGTTCACTTCTATGCAAATATTTACCTGTTCGACTCGATGTCTTGTCTGGAGATAAGGATCATATCTGGCACGAATGGCCCTCATTGATGTTGGCTAGGAGAAATAGAAGGATTCATTATTAAACCTTATTTCTTGACAACATACTGGAAAAGAACAAGACATGTGAATCTTTAGCCACTGGTTGGACACTCCATTTTCACAAACATATAATTATTAAAATCTTGATCCCATTATGTCTCCAGTATCTATCTGGTTGTAGTTTACTGAATGTTAACCAATGTAAGAAATCAAATTTGTGTTTTGCCCTGATGTTGTAATGCGACTGAAATAGGTCAGTCCAATCTTTTTTGACACCATTTTTAGTTGGCCACCCCACTGGGGGGATGAGGATGGGGCAAACAGATTTATATTGTACCTCTGCAAATTATGATTACAAAACTATTGTCTCAAGATACGTCGTCTTGATGCTTCATTCATTTTTTTCCTCCTACCCCCATCTCACTGCTTTTTCTCCTTCATGATGCTCCCTGTGCATGGAATGACTTCTCAATGTCAATTTGTTATCCACCACCCTCTTTTTATCAAATCCCTAAGAACTCACTTCCATGATGCCAACATTGTGAACTATTACTAATTGTTTTTAGACAAGTTATGCTCTCCTTTGAGTTTTCTAGTGCATCAGGGACTGTCTCTTTATATTTTGCAAGTGCCAAAGACACTTAATACTAAACGAATGCATGTATACACACAGAGGCACGTGTTAAGAGTCTCCAAATCAGTGTGAATTAGGAACCTTCTACTGTACATACACACTTCCTAATTTGCACTAATGATTGGGAAACCCATTGCCAATCACTGAATACTGGATAATAGCAAGTGAACCAAAAAAATTAAAGATAAAAGGACACTGTATCTAAGTCTACTTAGTTTGTTTACTCTGACAATTATTACTTAGCTTCAATTATTTTTGACACTTCATAATATACTAATAGACGGAATGAAGCATATTTTTAAAAAAATGTTTAAATAATTTAGTCTCACTATAGCATCTGCTATTAAGCTTTTGCTGGGTAGCAGGAAAGCGTCTTTTTGCACTTTAAAATATGTAGATTAATGAGGTTCTACTGAAGATACATACGTAGTTGCAAGATGTGCTACACTGGGGTTTGGCATGGGACACCAAATCAAGTAAGTTAAGAAAAAGATTCACTTTTGAAGTATTTTATTTACAGATTTTAAAACCTCAAGATCCCACTTTTTGCTAAAGTGAGTTACAATGAGCCAGGCTATAGAGCACGCAAGTTTCCACTGCGCTGTTTCCTTAGGCAATATTTAGGAGGAAGAATAACTTTTGGAGAGATCATACTTAGAACCTGCCAGTGCCCCTTTAAGTTTAAAGCCATCTGAAACAGGAAAATAAAGAAAACTTATCTTTGCCAACATGAAAAGGATAAAATTGGTAGGAAAAGAAAAACTTATTTTCAAGCCTAAGGGGGGAAAAAGCTAACAAAATAATCAGGAGAGAGAAGAACTATTAAAAACTAATTCAAAGGGATTTCCAGCCTTAGCAGTTTAACTGTTTCAGTTTCACTACTCAGATGTTTCTTTTTTTTCCCCCCCCTCTCCTTTTTCATTCTTGCAATAAGGACTGATTTTCTAAAGAGTTGTGAATAGAGATGAAAAGGAGCCTGTCACAATTTTACAGACAAAATGTAACATTGCAACATGACCCTCAAAGAGTACCTCATAGCCAGTGTAAGACTGTGTTGAATATTCAAAATCAGAATCGGGCCCACCAGGGCAGTATCTGCAAGTATTAAAAGAGAATAAGGAGTCATACACAAACCTGTACCAATGACAAACACAAAACAATAAAGAGTCTCTTGATTTAACGGAGACAGGTATCTGCATTTGTGCACTACAAACCATAGTTTAAGGACATGATTTAGCATGGTAATAAGCACCCTCAAGTTCTATTGACATTCATAGGAATTGCGGACACGTAGCACTATACAAGTGCTGTACTATAGCAGTAAAAAAAAAATTACATGTAAAAAAGAAGATCACTAGTACTGCACAACAGACATTTCACTTTAAGCATCCAAAGGGACCAGGATAATAATCATATATAGAGAAATGTGGACCCGTCAAATAATTGTGTCTACCTAAAATAATTTTTAAATAAATTATACCAAAAAAAAAAAAAAAAAAAAATGTACAGCAAATACCCTCCAAAAGCCTGAAATACTTTCAGATAAACCACATCTCCACTTTATTCATTTAGGGAACCAGCTCTAGAGCTTTGGACTAGTATCACAGAAAAATTATTAAAATGAAAATAAAGCGATACTATAAGTAATTCGAAATGTGTATAAGAAGCACAAACATTTTCCAAACGTCATAATTAAATTAGCCGTCCCCTATCTAGATAATGACTCCTCTGGTTTAATGTATCTGAAGCATTTAGGTTGTCAATATACAAAAAAAAATAGATAGGGCCTTCAGTTACAAAATAAAGATATGTCCAGTTACCATTAGGGATTTAAATATTGATAGTGGGGAACCATACTTCTATGTAGTTGCTTGAATTCAGGGACATACTGTTTAGCAAACCACAGAGTAAAGTAACATGCAGGCTGGACAATTGTACAGTAAATTACTACTACTGGCCCTGACGACTTACATTAAACAGATTTTAATTACATACATGCAAGCTGCAGAGAAAGCAATTAGTGGATACCACAGCATCACTGCTGCTCAGGAGAGAACTGGTAAATGGATTGCTTCCCACAGAAAGCAACTGAAAGGAATCTGTTTCTGTTCACTCTGAAACAGCCTCAGTTTACTTCTCAGGGTTACAAGTGTAATGGCTAACGTACATTTCATTCAATGTTCAAAGATGACCTGGCACAGGAAGTACCTTAAAGACTAACAGATTTATTTGGGCATAAGCTTTCGTGGGTAAAAACCTCACTTCTTCAGATGCATCTGAAGAAGTGAAGTTTTTACCCACGAAAGCTTATGCCCAAATAAATCTGTTAGTCTTTAAGGTGCCACCAGACTCCTTGTTGTTTTTGTGGATACAGACTAACACGGCTACCCCCTGATACTTGGCACAGGAAGTGTGAGAATTCCCTCAGTTTCAGTAGTTCAATAGTACAGACTGAGCACTCTCAATAACCAAGTTAATAACATGCTGACTGCTCCATTACTTAAAGTACAGGTCTCTGAATAGCGAGCAAAAATGCCATCATCAGGTTCAAGGTTTGTCTCTCAATGATTCCCTATCAAATCAAAACACACTCAGTTCATAATAAAATCAATTACTTTTCCCACAGCTTGTACAGCAAACTCAGCCTGGACCATTCCTTCTCATGCACCACCATCAGTACTGAAGAGTCTGCAAGCCAAATTAATATCCTTGTTTAAATTGGAGCAACACAATTCAATGTATTTGCACGTATTTGCACTGAAATGTCTCAAATAGAACTACTGATGATGCACAAGGAGGAACAGACTTCAGCTTCAGAACAGACTCTCTTAGCATGTTGGCACTGAAAACTACTAAAATTTTATTTTAGTTACTAAAGCTTGCAGATATTATGCTGAACACTCAGAGAGCAGAAATGGTGTCTGAGAAGGAACCATTATCAAATAGCCAGAATAGAAGCACAGAAAGAACACCTCATTTTTTCGCTTCTTTTGAATTTCTGTAATGTCCATTTCCACTCAGATTGGAAGAGCCCATGGACATGACATCCCAGCAAGCAGTGGGTTGGGGATGTCATGCTGACAACAGAAATACTTGAGATAGCAGGGGATGAGGTAGCTAAGTGGCATCTTCCATTATAAATGTGCACTTTTGCAAAGTTTTAAATATTTTATTTCCCCAAACTTTTTAAAAGTCATATTTAAATTTTGCAAAGCCCTGCAATTTTTCTTGCTTTTCTAATAATTTCCATTATATTCATGGTAGTTTTTGTCTCAAAGTTTGTTTACAGGGTGCTCAAGAATATGCTACTTAAGTCTCTACAAGCACTTTTCAAATTGACACAAATATTTTCACCCACTTGGTCTGAAACACCTCAATTTGAGTAGAGTAGACACAGACCTTCAGGGTATGTCACAAGGCTCATCTTTTTTCCCAGGCATTTGAAAAGGAGGGAGAATTGTAACAGCAGATATGAGGAATTGTTCAAATGGAGGGGGATTCATGGTAGATTGCCATAAATTATTGCACTAAGGATGTATTTTTAAGTTGTGTGAATGGCTGTGGAACCTTTTTAGCGTTTTTATAAATCTACACAAACAAACATCTAAAATAACATAATTTGTATTTCACTATTAACAAGTGGCCAAATCCAGCTCTTTGCATTCACTTAAGTATTTCCACTAACACAAGCAGGGATTGGTCCATTGAAGGAAAAGCATGTTTTCTTTGAAGAGAAAGAACTATCAAATAGAGTATCTGTTTCTGTATAACACATATGCATCAACAGTCTGGATTTTGATTCAACTTGCTAGAAATTTTCAATCATGCAGAAAGAAAGGTGGCCTGTGGTCCTTTAGAGGTAATCCAGGTCTGTAGAACCCCAAAACGGCAACAGTGACAGTATGCTACTGCACATGGCCAGACTTATTCCAGAAACATTTCTCCTTTGGCTCCTCTGAACGGTCATACTTACACACATATGTTTCCTGTAAAGTTAATGTGTGGACACCTGTGCGGTTTGCACATCACAGCCACAACAGCAATCTGTAATAAGGAGAGTTACAAAGGAAGGAAATTATAATCATAGTTATTTCTGAAATTATGAAAGATAAAAAAGCACATCCTGGAATTATACAAACAGGTACATATGTGAGGGACTGTTTTAAGTTTTTTCCATCTGAGCCTTACCCTTAACACACTGGTGCATTAACTCTTGAAGGAAAAAACAGTAATGGCAGTGACAGAGTTGACCATCAAATGCAACAGTAAACTAGCAATGCCATTACTAAAAAGGGTTTCCACAGTCCAGAGGGATATAGCAGCAGGACATGTTCATGGCACACAAGACCACATTTACAAGCAGAGGACCCATCTCAGGTTTGGTACCACAGGCACACTGTCAAGACCCAGAGTGACATTAAAATCCTGATTGGGACAGTTTGGTGCACTTTCAGGAGAATGTGAGGCTGGGAGAATGACAATAGGCATTGGGGAAAGACTTTGGAAGATGGGCATTGGAGAGACAGAAAAATAAGGGGAGGAAACAGACAAAAAAGGAAAAATAAATTCATCCTCATCAGCCACAGAACGTAATTCTCAGAATCTTTTTCTCCCATGATCTCCTAGTTTCTCAAAAAAAAACCTGAGCCTCACAACACCATTTGGGGGCATTAATCTCACTTTTAACAAATAGACAATATGAGAACTAGAGAGGTTAAGATGCAATTTTTCAAGTGTTCGCTAGTTTTGAGTGCACAACTTAAGACACCAAGGGCCTGATTTTCAGAAATACTTGTTAATTACTATATGGCAACATGGAATTACCTTAATAACTGTACATTTCCAGATTTTTTTAAATTGGGGAGAGGGGCAGGGAAGGGCAGGGAGTGTGTGTGTGGTATGATAGGAAGGCTTAAAATATCCTGTTGGATGCTAGCTGTAGTTAGTGTTAACACTTTTCAGTCTTAATTATCTTTTAAGGAAATTGTGGGTGAAGGATTAAAATCTTGTTAATGGACCATTTGCTGAGCCGGCCAGCTGCAACAGCACTAAATTTTAAATGGGTCTTGTTTCCAGATTAACCTGTGGAAGTGAGACATGCTAATCTGGTTAACAAATGGCAGTCACTGCACCAGCCCTCTTCTTTTCGCCTTCATGAGATACTTTGAAAACCATATTCCCTTGCCATTGCTATGATGCTGTAGACCAGTGTTTTTCAAAGTTCGGGTCTGTAAGCCACTGGGTCGCCTTGCTCAGCACCCAGGGACCCTAGCGTCTCTGGTCAGCACCACCGACCGGGACGTTAAAAGTCCTGTCAGCGGTGCTGCTCAGCTAAGGCAGGCTAGTGCCTACCTGTTCCGACACCGTGTTGCACCCCGGAAGTGGCCAGCAGCGGGTCCAGCTTCTAGGCAGGGGGGTCACGGGGCTCCACATGCTGCCTCCGCCCCAAGCACCGGCTCCGCACTCCCATTGGTCGGGAACCAGCCAATAGGAGCTGGGGGGCGGTGCCTGAGGGTGAGAGCCACACGGAGCCGCTTGCACACCTCTGCCTAGGAGCCGGACCTGCTGCTGGCCGCTTCTGGGGCATAGTGCGGTCTGTGATGCCAGGACAGGCAGGAAGCCTGCCTCTGCACCCCGGCTACACTGCTGACCTGGAGCCACCAGAGGTAAGGCCGCACCCTAACCCCGCGCCCCAATCCCCTGCCCCAACCCTGAGCCCCTCCCACACCCCATACCCCTCATCCCCAGCTCCATTGGGTTGCAGGCATCAACAATTTTCTTCAACTGGGTCCCCAGAAAAAAAGTTTGAAAACCAATGCTGTAGACAATCTGGGAAGTTGACCACATAGCTAGTACTTCATTAAAGCTTCTGGACTTTCAACATCTTTACAATGTTTGACAACAATTAATCCTGGTGTTTCACTGAAGGGTCATTTATATACAGTACTCACCCCACTAGCAGTTCGGATAGGCTTTGCCTTTAGCTTGGGTACCAGCACCTTGCGATATTGAGGTGGAACAGCAGCAATGATGTCAACCAAACGAGGCTGTGCGGAAAGCCCATACTTAGCAGACGTCTTGGTTTTCACCCTAAAATGGAAGGATCTCAAATTATTTTATTCTATTCAGGTCCTTACGCCCATCGCTGTGATATCCCAGCACCTACCTACAACTCAATCCAGTAAGTGCTGTGTTCCTGTCTACAGTTCAGACTAATGTACATTACTTAATGAGACACACATTAAAAGAACCTAATTAAAAAGCTGATGCTAGCTATATGTGATAGCTAACTTGACGTTATTAATGCATAAAAAAAATAACCCAAGGCAACTGTAATTGTAAGATTTTGTATTTTTGCTATTTCTTGGCCTGGGGGGGGGGGGGGGGGGTTAAAGTGTGGTTTTACTCAAAAAAGTTCTGAAACTAGCACTAGAAGGCTCAAAGTTTACTGTTTCTCAGTGACTGAGAGCAAATTAGTTCAGTTCATGAGATTTTGGTCTAACTGCTACCATGTAAACCCAGATTCCTGCTAGGTCTCTTTCCAACTTGTGCCCAGGAAAATGTCTTTGAAGGGAAGACCAAAGCACTGCAATAGGAACCTGGGGGCAAATCCTGGTCTCAGTCTCAATACAGTTATTCTGAGTTTATAAAAGTAACAGAGAAGAATATTATTTTAGTTAACAATTCTTTTCATTACATGGGAGCCTGAATTTAATCCAGATCACTGTCACATGACTCTGGGTACATCTACACAGCAAACAAAAAGATCCATAGCAGCGAGTCTCAGAGCACAGGTCAAATGACTTGGGCGCTAAAAATAGCAGTGTAGACATTCAGGCTTGGGCTGGAGCCTGCGCTCTGGAGCCCGGCGAAAGGAGTGGGTCTCAGGGCCAGGGCTCCAGCCCAAGCCCGAACACTAATTTGCTCTCAGTGGATCACAAGCTAAATATGAGTGTTGTAAAAAAGCAAACATCATTCTGGGATGTATTAGCAGGACTGTTGTAAGCAAGACAGAAGTACTTCTTCCGCTCTACTCTCTGATTAGGCCTCAAGGAGAGTATTGTGTCCAGTTCTGGGCGCCACATTTCAGGAAAGATGTTGACAAATTGGAGACAATCCAGAGAAGATCAACAAAAAATGATTAAAGGTCTAGAAAACATGGCCTATGAGGGAAGATTGAAAAAGTTGGGTTTGTTTAGTCTGGGAGAAGAGAAGGGGACATAACAGTTTTCAGTACATAAAAGACTGTTACAAGGAAGAGGGAGAAAAATTGTTCTCCTTAACCTCTGAGGATCGGACAAGAAGCAATGGGCTTAAATTGCAGCAAGGTTTAGGTTGGACATTAGGAAAAACATTCCTGTCACGGTGGTTAAGCACTGGAATAAATTGCCTACAGAGGTTGTAGAACAGGGGTCGGCAATCTTTCAGAAGTGATGTGCCGAGTCTTCATTTATTCACTCTAATTTAAGGTTTTGCATGCCAGTAATACATTTTAACGTTTTTAGAAGGTCTATTTCTATAAGTCTATAATATATAGCTAAACTATTGTTGTATGTAAAGTAAATAAAGGTTTTTAAAATGTTTAAGAAGCTTCATTTAAAATTAAATTAAAATGCAGAACCCCCCCGGACGGGTGGCCAGGACCCAGGCAGTGTGAGTGCCACTGAAAATCAGCTTGCATGCTGCCTTCGGCTCGTCCGCCATAGGTTGCCTACCCCTGTTGTAGAATCTCATTGGGAGACTTTTAAGAGCAGGTTAGGCAAACACCTGTTAGGGATGGATAATAATTAGTCCTGCCATGAGTGCAGGGGACTGCACTAGATGAACTCTCAAGGTCACTCCAGTCCTATGATTCTATGATCTACACTGATATTTTTAGCCCCACAATGCAAGCCCTGCAAGTCCAAGTCAGTGGAGGGTTTGTTTTGTTTTTTGCTGTGTAGACGTACCCTGTATTGCCTCTGTCGGATTAACAGGTTGGACAGATTTACAATGTAAAAAATAAGAGACATGCTTATTCTTTTTCATTAATATGACTCATACCATGGTATAAAAGCTCTGAATGAAGTAAACTGGTATATTTTCAAGTCAGCGCACAAATGCAATTATATAAGATTTGTATCAGTGAAAGAAATTCAGTTGGGGTGTGAAAACTAAGTACTATTTTTAAAAATGTCTGAATAGACAATTATTCCTCCAGGGTTGGGTACCTGCCCTGGGAAGCATAGAGATAAGTTACTGGCTGGCACTACTTACTTATTTAGATTCACATCTCTTCCCTGCTCATGAGCCTCAATCAGCTGTTTAATGACATCAGCTATTGTCATCATCATCAGCTCTGCATGGCTCAGGTCTCCTGAAATAAAAATGAAGTATGTTCAGGCAAAAAAAAACACACATACATATGACATATGCTAATCATTTGTGCAAATTACCAATTCAAACTAACACTTCCTGCAATTCCAGCCTTAGGCTGCCGACCCCACAGAGCTATGCCAATGCACGTGATTCCTCATTTATATCACCCCCTTATAGAGGGAAACAACTGTTATAAGATATTGGTTTTGTTTTATGTGTGAAACACAAACTCCATCTTTACTTCTGATGACCTCTCATTGTTGAGCCACTTGCACTAATGCCAGAAAAGACAAGAAGTTGAAAATATAATGCTGGAAGTTGAAGCTAAACCAGGGGCTGGCAAACTTTTTGGCCTGAGGGCCGCATTGGGTTTCGAAAATTGTATGGAGGGCTGGTTTGGGGAGGCTGTGCCTCCCCAAACAGGCAGGCGTGGGCTGGCCCCCTCTATCCAACCCCCCCTGTTCCCTGCCCGCTTACCGTGCTGCCTGGAGCACCGGTGGCTGGCAGTGTGGCTGTGGCTGGCGCCAGCCACGCCACCGCACAGCACAGAGCACTGGGTCAGGCCGCAGCTGCGCTGCCCGTCCCCCCAGAGCATTGCGCCAGGTGAGGCTGCAGGGGAGGGGAAAAGCAGGGGAGGCGCCGGGAGCGATCCTTCTGGGCCAGGAGCTCAGGGGCCGGGCAGGAGGGGCCCGCGGGCCATAAATTGCCCACCTCTGACCTAAACAAATTCAGACTAGAACTAAGGCACAAATTTTCAACAGAGAAGGTAATTAACTCCTGGAACAACTTCCCAAGGACTGGGCTGGATTCTCCATCATTGGAAACATTTAAATCAAGACTTTATTTTTTTATGAGATGCTCTAGTCCAACAGGGATTAATTTAGGGACGTGCGATGGCGGTCAGACTGGATGATCACAGTAGTCCCTTCCGGCCTTGGATTCTATGGCTACATATCAGGGGGTCGCCGTGTTAGTCTGTATCCACAAAAACAACAACGAGTCCGGTGGCACCTTAAAGACTAACAGATTTATTTGGGCATAAGCTTTCCTGGGTAAAAAAAAGTGAGGTTTTTTTACCCAGGAAAGCATATGCCCAAATAAATCTGTTAGTCTTTAAGGTGCCCCCGGACTCGTCGTTGTTTTTATGGCTACGTCCACACTGCACACCTTACAACAGTGCCGCTGGGCCAGTGCACCTGTAACATCGGGAGAGTGAAACAAAACCACCTCCCAGGAGCGTGGTGCCCACTGAGGACACGCTGTCCACGCGGGTGTGTTCGTCGTTACAACTTTTGTTGGGGGGGGGGTTGTGTTTTTTCACACCCCTGAGCGACAAACGTTGTAGCGAGGACAGGGCCAGTGTAGACCCAGCCTTGTGAGTCTCTGACAGGACAAGGCCAGGCACGGGCTACAGCTACTGCCACTGAGGCGAACCCGGCCGGGCCCCCGAGGGGGCGGGGCTGCCTCCCTAGCCGCTCCGCGCTGTGGCCGCGCGCCGGCCGTTTAACCCCCGCGGCACGTGAGCCGCAGCGGGGGCGGGAACAACCCAGCTCCCGGGCAACCGCCTTCGCGCTCGAGCCCCAGGCCCGAGGAGGCGACGTGTGGGGGGTGTCCCCCGAGTCCCCCCGCCCCAGGCCCCAGGAAGAGCCTCCCGCGAGCCGCATAGGAAGGGGCCGCCGCCGTTACCTTTCTTCTTCTGCCTCATGCTGGACGCTCCCCTCGCGGCCACCAACCGTCCGCCCGGCGCGAGGACAGGAGAAGCGCCCGCTCCCACTTCCCCGATTGGGCGCACTGAGCATGCGCCGCCGGACTGAGCATGCGCAGTGACCTTCGCTGGCGTAGCTGCCCTGACTTCTGCCCAGAGTTTGCTGCCGGCTCGGGGGAGGGGGGGGTGTGCAGGACACTGCGTGTCAGCTGCGGAGCAGAGGGCGGGTTCCTGGGGCTGGGTTCTTAAAGGCACAGGCATCCCAATTCCTAGGCTGTCAATGCTTAGACGCCGCAGCGCCTCTCTATCCTATACAAGTGCTGCGAGGCTACGTTACTGCTATGGCCGGGAGACTTAATGCTGTGAAATATTGTACAGACACTCCCACAGCCTGCACCCTCCCTGAACCCAAACGCCGGCCCAGAGCTTGCACCCCAAACAGGGCCGGCTTAACCTGTTGTAGGCCTGGTGCTAAACATATTTGTGGGCCCCCCATGGGGGCAATGGGGTCGGGGGGCAGAGTCCCCAGAGCAAGGGGCTGGCCGGGGGCAATGGGAGATGGGTCATGGCACGGCAGGGACAGTCCCGCCCCACCCAGCCCAGTACAAGGGCACTGTTTACAAACCGGCAGCCGCCAGACGCACACGAGCCCACCCGGCTCTGCGCTGCCATCGTGCTTCTTCCCCTTGGGGGCGGGCCCGTGCCGCACCATGCTGTGACGTTGTGCAGTCTATATGGTTTTATAGAAACATGATAATAAGTGAATATAATGTAACTGGGATAGTTTTATAAAGATTTGATAATAAGTGAATATAATGCAACTGGGATACGCTTCATGCAAAAGGTCTCTTGTAAGGTATCATTACAAAGCTCATAATCTACTGAGTGTGATCATCCTATTTGTAGAAATGTACCACTCTTGTATCTAAAACTAGAAATATAAAACATAACTCTGAGGGCCTATTGTAATTATGTAAAGTGTGGGCCATTAATGATGGTTTGGAATCTTGATGACTCCCATTAACCAGGACCATTGCCTGCAGATGGCTGTGTTTACCTGTTAGTCTTCCTGTATATGTGTGTGCTGGCAAGTGGGCAATGAAGTCTTGCAGTGACATGTGATCATGTCACCTGAACTGGAATCCATCTTTAACCTGGTGTTTTTCCAGTGAGGGGGGGTGGAAACCCAGAGGGACAAAGGGTTCCTGCCTTATGCAAAAGATATATAAAGGGGTGGAAGAGAACAAAGGGGGAGAGCAGCCATCATGAAGAATCCCCTAGCTATCACCTGAGCTGCTGTAGGAGCTGGATTTTACAATGTACTATGAGAATTAATGTATGATTTGATTTCATCTTGTCAGCCACCCTTTTTGAATAGCAGAAAGGAATGACAGACCAAAACAATCCTTATGACTAATTATGGTCATCCTTTTGTTTTAGAATAAGTTATAAAGCTACTATGGTTTCCTATATGTATTACAAATTAGGAAGTAAGAGACAGGATTCTCTATTGTGTCTATGATAAGTAGATTAGAGGAACATTGAAGGCCTGGGTCTCAATGTAAATTGTCTTGGTTATTGATTGTAAAACTTAGCAAGGTTTAATTTGCAATGCCCTTTTGCTCAATATAAAATACTACTGTTTGTATTCTCAGTCTGTTTGTGTGAATGAGGAATGTATGCATTAGAAAAAGATAAGGTGTGAAGGCCATTGTTATAGCCAGAGTCAAGGAAGAAGGAGTAAAGAAACTTAAAGGACATCAAAGAATCATCAACACGCATCCATAATGAAGGGCAGATTGACGACCCTGAGGTAAAGGCTGGCACCCCTAAAGACAATTGATTAAATCGGAACAAAGGACAGGATGACCCTCTCGGAGGTGTATTGAAATGTTTACACCAATTAAGAAGTAACCGGTCACAAAGTGACACAGCAGAATCCATAGGCTTCAACAGAGAAGAAAACCTATAAGAACAGGGTGCTTTGCCATAGGACTTTGGGTTCGTCTTGCCACACTCCAGGAGCATCGGATTGCTACCGATAGAACCCCGCTCCCCTCTGCGACCAATCTGGCTGGCCACTAGATTGATCCTGACTCTGGACTGGTAACTATAAACATCACTGCAGGACTGTGTGTGTGTGTGTGTGTGTGTGTGTGTGTGTGTGTGTGTGTGTAAAAAGCATATGCTAACTGTGGTATTCTCAATAAATGCTGTGTATTTACCTTCCTCTATAAAGTTCCTGTGTGCTTTGTATGAGCATAACACTGCAACAAGAGCTGTACCAGGGGAAAGAATTGTGCCCAGGCCTGGAAGGTGTCCAGTCTGAGAAAAAACTTACTGAAGCATCTCTGAGGGTGAGATTATCTGTATTCAGTTTGATTAGACATAGATTTGCGCATTTTATTTTATTTTACTTGGTGACTTACTTTGTTCTGTCTGTTACTACTTGGAACCACTTAAATCCTACTTTCTGTATTTAATAAAATCACTTTTTATTTAGTAATTTACTCGGAGTATGTATTAATAGCTGGGGGAGCAAACAACTGTGCATCTCTCTCTATCAGTGTTATAGAGGGCGAACAATTTGTGAGTTTGCCCTGCATAAGCTTTATGCAGGGTAAAACGGATTTATTTGGGTTTAGACCCCATTGGGAGTTGGGCATCAGAGTGCTAAAGACAAGCACACTTCTGTGAGCTGTTTTCAGGTAAACTTGCAGCTTTGGGGCAAGTGATTCAGACCCTGGGTCTGTGTTGGAGCAGATGGGAGTGTCTGGCTCAGCAAGACAGGGTGCTGGAGTCCTGAGCTGGCAGGGAAAACAGGAGCAGGGGTAGTCTTTGCACGTTAGGTGGCAGCTCCTAAGGGGGGTTCTGTGATCCAACCCATCACACATGCTACCCCTATGCCCAGTGCCCTCCCATAGACCACTATGCCCAGCACACACACACAGAACCCCCCACAGATCCCCTTACTGCCTAGTGCCCCCCACCGCCACAACTGAACAGTGCCCCGCACAGAACCCCCACACTTCCCAGTGCCCTGACACACATAGATCTCCCCCACTGCACAGCCCCCCAACACACACAGATCTCCCCACCCCCTCACTGCCCAGCATCCCCCCAGATCCCATAGAGACCTACTCTCCCATGCCCTGACCCCTGTCCACAATAGCTGGCAGCGCAGCCACGGCTGGTCCTGGGGTAGGATAACTCCGGCCCCTTGGGAGTGGTGCAATCAGCCAGGCTGGAACAGGAGCAGAGCCTGCCCAGGCCAGGCTCCCTCAGAACCCACATGCCTGGCAGGACCCAGCTGAGCCCCTCGACACTGTCCCTTGTTTTCAACAATTCCTTTGCATTTGATGCAGCAATGAGGGTTGCTTTTTGGTGCATTTATCTTGCCTGTGAATCCAGCCCTTAGTGTCCCATGTTCACACATCATTGCTTGTGTGTAGAAGCTGATTCACAAATATTCAGTGAGTGTATTATATTATGTCATCTTACATCAGGGGTTGGCAACCTTTCAGAAGTGATGTGCTGAGTCTTCATTTATTCACTCTGATTTAAGGTTTCGCGTGCCAGTAATACATTTTAACATTTTTAGAAGGTCTCTTTCTATAAGTCTAGAATATATAACTAAACTATTGTATGTAAATACGGTTTTTAAAATGTTTAAGAAGCTTCATTTAAAATTAAATTAAAATACAGAGCCCCCCGGACCGGTGGCCAGGACCCAGGCAGTGTGAGTGCCACTGAAAATCAGCTCACGTGCCGCCTTCGGCACGCGTGCCATAGGTTGCCTACCCCTGTCTTACATCCTTCCCAAGGGCAAAAATCTTCTGCAACAATGAAGGCTTGGGCTCATGAGCAGTGACTGCAGAACTTTTGGATGTGCAAGTCCACATTTCTGCATCTGTGTGCAAAACTCACCAAAATAAAAGCTGCACTGACAATGGAGAAGCAAATATAATTGCACTATTGGGAGCTGTAACACCAGATTCTTATTGGTCAATCAGTGGTCTCTCTCCTAAACCAAGGTGGAATGGATTTCTTTAATGTAAGTAGTCACAACGTATTGTTAAAGAGCATTTCATGCTCAATGCCCTGTTAACACCTCTGCAGTCACAGATTTAAACATTTTATTAAGATGATGTTAAAAAAAAATAGTGAACAGTCTTGGGGAACCAGGGCACAGTATCCAGCCTGTCTGACTCATGAAAGGACCCCCTCTCCCCCGTTTGAACCAAAACTGATGAGAGACAAAACTTGCATAGAGCAGTGAATGGCGGTGTGAGACACACCTAGACCCCTCATGACAAAGGTGACAAGATTAAGGCAACTCCCCTATCCTCATCTGTATGAAAGATGGGACAGAGCCATCTCCATTAGCATACCGAATGGAGAACAGAGGCCACTCCCCTAGCTTCATCTGCATGAAAGATGGGACAAGGAAACATCTCATTAGCATACAGAATGGAGAAAAGAGAACCGCACTGAACTCTAGGACCAGAAAAGCAGGGAACAACTGCATCATGGGGGATCTGTGCTCCAGATGTTAATGAACCTACGCCTGCACACACCCAGCTCAGCAGTTATCAGACCAATTCTAGTGATTAATCCTTGATTGATATCCAAAATACTGAAGCAGCCCAATTTAATTGTGAGCTCCCTGAAGGAACATCAGCCATAGCTAGGAGTAATCAGCTCCTATTATCTAGCCTAAAGAAAACCCTTGAGTCATTAGTTTACCCATAAACAAATCTAGGTTCCTCCCTTGAACAATTGTATTTTCTCTACAAAAAACCCTACTCACACTCCAGTAAGTGTTCTGATGCATGGACCAAACTCTGCCTCAGTTCTACTGGGATTTCATTGACTCCTGACTGATCCAAGACCCTGAGCTACCACCATCACCTGGGAACCCTAATGAGTTCAAGATTCATGAAGTGGATGAGATCCCTCCCTCCCTCCCTCTTTCTCTCTCTCTGTTTCCTTTTCTACCTCAGGTATTAACCTTTAATAATGTAACTGTTATTTTGTTTAGGCTCTCCTTCAGTAGTTATCACTATTATTCAATGAATAACTTTTATGGTTAAGCTGGTTGCCTCTCTCT